AAACAAATTAAAATAGGCCTTTTCCCAAAATGATCTCATATTTAAAAATACCTCCTAACATTCAAATGGTGAGAAAACAGTGTGTCTGGCAATATGCTAATTACTAGTTGTTTATTGTTGTTACGAAGTGAGGCTTATGTAGATAGGCAGAAGGGAACAGGGAGGAATGGGCACAGCTGGTGCTAAATTAAAAGAGAATTCCAAGGTGGAATTCTGGTAGGGGAAACCTTGACATTGCGGGACCTGACCTACTGCACATCTGCTTTCAAAGTAGCCTGTTATCGGCCTTTTCATAATCAGCCCATTCTCTCATACCCCAATATTCACTCCCTGTCCAGGCTGTTCTCAGTATAAGCCCTGGTGAAATCTCAACCATAAATAAATATGCTACTTCTAAGTTCTTGATCTAGTAACTGCAATAGAGCATTTATTTGTTTAGCACATACCATTTCACACAGGCTGAGCATTTGTTGGCAGAAGGTATTCTAATAAAATATAGGGTGTAAAATAATGTTCAGCAAATCAATGCCAAAATCTGAAAAGTAATTCTGTTCTCAAGTAGTCTGCAGCTTCAAAACCCAGCAGAATTCTTAAAACATATCAATTACTATAAGTTCCATTTGAAGAGTTTATTATCTGAATTAATCCTAGGATGCAGGTCATTTGCCTTATTAAGGAGGCCAAATTATAGATTTTTAGCCTCAGGCATTCTCAGTTATATCTTGACAATATTGGCACAAAGAGACTTCATGTTATTAAAATTTCAAAACATTACATTTTTAAAAGACTTTTATAAGAGGACAATGAGGGTGGGAGGCGATACAGGCACCTCTTGAAAAATTTTTCTAGCATCCTAAATTTTATCCACACACCACCTTCCTTAATATATTTTATTTTAGTAAAAATGTAAGCTCCAAACCCAGAGCTTGCCAATTACTTGTATTTAGCAAGTTTTCAAAATACTAGCTGGAGCAGAATGATTTATTTTCAGCTAGAAATGTTATTCTATATGCATGCTTTTCCCTCAAACACATTATATCCTGAAAATATATTTGCCTCTTCTATTTAAAAGAGGATAGCCAAAGAGAATCCCCTTTCTCTTCATAGCATCCGGCAAATTATATGTGCTTAGAAAATAATTGTTGATTCGATGTGTTAAATAGGTTTAAAGAATATTAAACCAAAGACCGACATCTAAGATAAGTGTTCAGATGCTTTTCCCAAAGTGGCCCAGCCCCATCCAGCTGGACCACACTCACCCTCATGCCTCCGTTCAGTTATCCTAGAAAATCCTGTTGAGATAGGAGATACAACCATGTTGGAAATGCTCTAAAGTTTCTTTTAAACTTCTCCCTCTGTCTCCTTTTTTCCCTTTATATGGGAATAGTTATGGAAGGGAAGGGGCAGCAGTGCTATAAGGAACCAAGCAATGGATCGAAGTTCAAGGCTTGAGGGTCTAAATTATATCTCTACTAACTACAGCTCTGGGATCATTGCAAAATTACTTAGCCTTTTTACAAGCTAGTTACTTCCACCTTCCTCTTCTATAAACATACGAGGTTGGACTAAATCTCCAAGGCCTCCTCCAGTTTCCAAACACTGTAATTCAGACTGCCCATAAAAAATAAATGTAACTCTGGGATGCTCATTTTCTAAAGTAAAGTTGTAAGGAGTCTGGACTTTTTCATTAACAAACGCCAGAAGCTATAGGAAACTTTGTGGGTGCTCGATAAATATTAAATAATCAATTTTCTCTTTCATCTGCAAAATGGGGTGAGTAATGCTGACTTGTCTCCCAGAATTTTGTGCAAGAAATAATAAATGAGAACAAAGCACTTTTCAGATAATGAAGTAATTCGAATAAGCTACTTTAATAGGTCTGAGGTCTAGATAGATGATGCAAGAATAAAGTGTCTTGTATTATTGTATTATTACATCTGTGAAATACAACGGTCTTTTCATCGGTTTAAGAAGAAACAGTCATTGTCCTCGCTTATCACCAAAAAGTCTGCATGAGTAATTTCTGTGCAAATGAAATTTTTCATGTGATTTTAACATTTATCACTTTTAACAATGCAGCTTTTATTTTTACCTGGTATCAAATGGAATCATATATTGATTTAAAGAGTTTAATGTGGGATTCCATCACCATTATACTACTCTGCTCAAAGAAAATGCTTTCTGAAATGACTGATAAGCTGCACAAATGAGAAAATTAGAAATTTAATAAACCTCCTACTCGAAACTAGTTCAGTTGGGGAATTGTTACCAAAGAAAATGATATATTACATTCTAGCTGCCTGGAGACTTCTGCAATAGGGCTATTTTTTATTTATGTTCAATAAATAATATGTTTTATATTTTTTACAGTGTTCCAACAAAAGAAAGCCAGAAGACAATCTGATGATGACAAGTTTCATGGTGTCCCTAAGAAACAAGGTACTGACATCCACTTCAGTCTATTTAACAATCTCTAAGTAAAATTTAAAGAAATCTTATGAATACTAAATAAAGCATGTTAGGACTGAAGTAAGTAGTTGTATGCTTGGGTAATTTTGCTCTTAAGTTAGTGTCTTACCCAAATATTATTTTTCCATAATAAAATCAATGCAAGAAAATTATTTTAATTCCCAAAGTCATGAGATGGGCTTGTCAGAAGATTTGTGGTGATGTTATTGATGTTCTTACAAGAGTTTGAGCAAGTTCAAGTAAGAAGAATTTGTGAGGTCCATCAGTAGCCAGCTTTCCTAGACCTGGAGTGGAAAGGTCTGGAACTTGGCTTTGTGAGAATGGCAGATAGTTGATTCCCCCCAAAAGGGTAATCATAAATGCCAGTCAAAGACTGTGCTCTTTCACCATTACTCTCTTGCCTTCTGCACTTGATCCAACATTTTTGGAGCAATTGTTTGTCACTGACAGGGAAGCCCTGAAAACGGTACTCGCAGAATCATCTTTCAGTTTTCCATGAAATGCTTGTCTTCTATTGAAAAGAGTGACTCTAACAGATTATTTATTGTAATTTTTTTCCTGACAATAAGGCCTTACTCAATATGCAGAAACAAGAAATTAAAAGATGGTAGCCATGGGGGTTAACATCAGCTTAGCTCTGACAATCAATGAGTGTATAGGCCCACTAGCACCTCTAAAATAACGTTGGCCCAAAATATTACCTAGAAACTGGTGCCAGTAAAGTGTTAAGGGAGATGTGAAAATAAAGCCAGGAAACACCACTAAACACTCTCATAGTCAGTCTCCTTGTGTGTCTCTGTGGACGGGGCTGAGTATGGATTGCACCAGTGTCTAACACCCACTGAACTCTTAGCTACAGAACCTCCACAAGTCTGCTCCTAGAGCCCTGAACCCCCCTCCTAGCAAAGGTGTGCTCTGGAACCGGCGATCTTCACTTATCACTTCAAGTGGCACTTCCCCCAGCAGCAGGTTGTATTTAGATCACATCTGCCACTAAGTGGATGTCATTTGAATGCCACACCTGATGAAGCTGAGCTTCGACTCCCCCATGAGTCACTGGGATATACTGCTTGTAAGCCGATGGGGCAAAAATCTTTCTTTCTTTGGCAATTTTCGATTTTTAGTGATTTCATACGGGAGGGTGGATAAGATAGACCTTTCTGAAGTCCACTGTTATCTACCCATTGTACTTTCTCAAGAAATAAATGTGAACTCCATGTGAGATCATTGCACAATTATGCCCAGAACAGAAACTGAAAAATTAAACAAAGTAGATGAGATTCCTCCCGCCTGGACTCCCCACATACCCGACAGAGCTTCAGAAAGAATAAAGAGAGTTGATGCTCAGAGCCCTTGGGGAAAAAGCCCTGAAGCATTTTTTATATAAATTATTCAATAACGTTCTTAATTAAATTTTGTTAGAATTAAGGGGGACATTTGAAGAGGGCCACAGGAGATAAGGGAAAGTGACAAGTCTGAAATGTAATGAAGAAATCCTTGGAATGCTTCATCTTACCAGTCATCCCTCTGGCTGTCCCACAGAAAGCAATGTAAGGAAAGGATGCCGGGACCCACTAAGCCCAGCGAAGCCCAATCCTTATTCTGCCATTTGCATAAAAAATGACTATCCAGGGCAGCACCTGTAGCTCAAAGGAGTAGGGTGTCGGCCCCATATACCAGAGGTGGCAGGTTCAAACCCAGCCCCCGGCCAAAAACTACAAAAAAAAAAAATGATTATCCACATCCTACTAAAATTTTTTAAAAAGCAGAGGAAAGAGTGGTGTGGAGGAACAAGGACCTGATTATACAATATTTTACTGAATCACTATCTGTCCAGATCTTGGTGCCTAATTTGCATCATCAAGGTCAATTAACACTAGATTTTTAAAATTCTTTGGCTACTAGGAAACTAAAATTTTAAACATATTTTATTTGAAATTTTTTCTCTGCATACTTAGATCCAACTAGAGCAGTTTCCCTTGACTTTTTTTAATCCTGGACAAAAGTAACTTACTAAAATGCCACAGAATACTGTTCGATTTGTAAAAACTGAGGGAACATCAAACCTGATAAGTGTTTTTTTAATACCTACCATGAGTACAATCTGCAGGGAAATCAGAATCTAGCATAAGAAAAAAAGATAATTTGAAATAATTAGGAATATTTTGAAATAAAAGAATGAAGTATCTAAGTTCCTAAAAGGTCTCATTCAACCCTATTTCTCTAAATTGTTTTACATATTTGACCATTCAGTACATTAAAATACTAGGAAATGAAAACTGCTGATTATTGAATTAATAAATATAATATTTTTAAAAATTCTGGGTTTTTTTAGTGTAATAGAAAAGCAGAACATACTTGACCAGTGAGAATCACTTTTATTTGGTCAAAAACAATGAAAGGGGCCTTTTATGAAATGTTTGTCAGAGTCAAGATTTTCTGCAGGGACTAGACAAGCTCGCTAAAGAAGGTAAAAGGAATTATTTAATTGTTCCTCTGTATGCTGGAAGGAAAAGGGATTATGAGAGCCAACTATTTTCCCATTGAAAGTATAAGCATTTCAAGTGCTCTAAGTTCAAGACTGCCAAGGGGCTGTCAGGAAGTTACATTATTGCTAAGTCAAGGAATTTTCCTGAGGAACAGAAAAAAAAATATTAATTGGTACCATTTCCATGGAAACTCAACAGATTTCTTCAACTCAATTTTCACATCTTAAAAAAATATAAAGAAAAATGCTGAGGACTTTGGATAAAGATAAAAATTTTCCATCAAAATAAAGTTTTAAAATCAAATTTCCCAAGTTGAATTTAAAATCTGAAGATCCCAAGGAGTGCTATCCCAGATAGAATGAGCTGCCCCCGCACGTCCGTCCCCTTCCTAAAATTGAGCCTCCTATGAAAGTGAAGGGTTCATTCTTAAGCGTTGCCAAGCCAGAAAACTGAATTTTGTCAGTGTTCTTAGAGTTGATCATGGTTGTGAAGTCTGAGTTACGCTATACAAGCTCACAGAGGACTGATTGATTATCCCCAGTTCCAATCTATTAAACCTATAATAAAAGGTGGCTTCCCAGTGCCTAGAATGCTTAAAATCACTTGGTCCCTCACAAAAGAAACCATTTCTATAGAATATATTTAGTAACTAAGAGAACTAAGTGAACATGTTCAAGTCAAAAGGTGCTGAAGGAATGTGAGGGCTCCTCTAAAAACATGGAAGTACCTGGCTAATTTTCTCTGCCTCCCAAAAGCAAGTAACAGTCTATGGTCAAGTTTGCTCGTGTTTTCCAGACCTTCTGTGTCTTCTCTTAGACGTTAAGAGTGACCTTTTCTGTCTATACCAAAATCCTCCCCATTTACTGATACAGTCTTACCCAGACAGGACACATGGAAACTGAGGAACTCAAGCTTGTTTTCTTTTCCTTCCTACCTTCCTTCCTTTCCTCCCTCCCTGCCTCCCTCCCTCCCTTCCTTCTTTCTTTTTCTCTTTCTTGGCAGTGCCTCACTCTGTCACCCTGGGTAGAGTGCCACAGCATCATCATAGCTCACAGCAACCTCAAACTTCTGGGCTCAAGTGATCCTCCCACCTCAGCCTCCCAAGTAACTGGAACCCCAGATGTGTGCCACCATGCCCAGCAATTTTTCTGTTTAAGTTCTTGCTCTTGCTCAGGCTTGTCTGAAACTCCTGAGCTCAGGCAATCTAGCACTTTGACCTCCCAGAGTGCTAGGATTACAGGCGTGAGCCACCATGCCCAGCCTACTCAAGCGTTCTTTACGAACTCCCTCCCTCCAGTCATGGATCATATCCTCAGATCTCCACGGCTTACAATTAAATAATACACCTCATCGAGCATGTGTTGTGCTAACACTCTTTAAAAATGAGCCATTTCTGTGAGATCTGGGATTAGGTGGGCAGGAGGAGCACATCCACCCTACCCAGTTGCTCCTACCAGTCATTCCCACTCTAGAGAGGCTTGAGAGTTATTTGCAGTGCCTCTAAAATTTTGTTGCCTAAGCCCTGCCTTAGATGCAGGTTAAAACTAAAACCGATGAGAATGGGTCATTAGCAGTAACGTCAGAACAAACCCAACATACACCCACCAAAATCTCATCAAAGAAAACTGTATGCTTCAGAGGTCACATGTGGTCATATTTAGCTAACTATATTTTAACAGTAACCCATGCAATATAATTTATTTTTTGGCCAAAAATGAAGACCATATTTCCTATAAAAAATTCACATTTCCAGCCACTCCTTATTATGTAATATAAATGTATATGTCATTTGCTACAAATGACTTTTGCTGTTATCATTTGTTATCATGCTTTCCATGTTGTTTTCTCATATCTGAGACATTTAATTGTCATAATTTTATCAAAAGGGAGAAATTAAAAGGTATATCAACAGAGCCATGTCATAAAGAAAAGATGAAAGAACATGTTTTATTTGCAATCATGAAGTCTTCATTATCATAGATATTTCTGATAATATCTATTTTCTATCACAAAGACATACTTAATTAGCAGATACAAAAGCTAATTTGCTACATGAGCTTATCTGCCTGGCCCCTGCAGGCTTATGCGTCTACAACCCCTGGTATAGACCCTGCCCACCAGTTCTCTGCTGCAGACTCCAAAATCATTATTGGCTGGACTTTTGTGGGGAGGGGCACACATGGGCATGGGAAAAATATAGTCAGACACTGTATTCTTTTCTGTGTTCTCTCAGTGCCCAGTGCTGCAGCACACTGATAAATACTAGATAACAAAATTGTCTGTAAGCAGGAGACCTGGGCAAATGTGGAAGGCTCAGAAAAAAGAATGCTAATCTCCAAGGTGTTTTCATCAGGGGAAAAAAGAATGCTGATCTCCGAGGTATTTAGATCAGGCTGCTTTAACCAGTACTAGATATATTAAACAAGAAAGAGGGGAAATTGTCAAAACATGGTCATTTGTGGTCCATAAAACAATAATGGCCTCGGTACTGTTTCCCAGTATAACTTACACTTCCATTTGTCATATAGCTCACACAAGTTTTTGTTATTGTTGTTAAAGGCAGACCTTGAAAAATCTGTAGGCTAGCTGAGTTCTTGCCCCACATGAAAATGTGAGAGCAGCCCACAGAGTGCCCTTTGGAATGAAGTCAAAACATAAAAAAGGAGAATTTTTTTTTTTTTTGAGGCAGACTCACTTCATCACTGAAGGTTGAGTGCTACGGTCATCATTGTAGCTCACAGCAACCTCAAACTCTAGGGCTCAAGTGATCCTCCTGCCTCAGCCTCCCAAATATCTGGCACTATAGGTGCCCACCATGACACCCAGCTAGTTTTTTTTATTTTTAGTAGAAACAGGATCTCCATCTTGCTCAGACTGGTCTCAAACTCCTGAGTTCAAGCAACCCACCTGTCTCAGCCTCCCAGAGGCAAGAACTACCATGCCCACCCAAAAGTCTCACTCTTAAAAGTAGTGAGACCAAGGACTGCAAACCAAGCTTGCTAGAATGTGAGATTTACTTCAATTATTTCTAAAGTTGAAAAAATGTAATTGAGACACATGGTCTTTATTAATATTATTTTAAACTACTTATTTAGTATTTCCTATTTTCTATTCCTTTTTCTTGGGCAATCAAGTTGTTTCCCTTTAGCAAAAAAATTCATTTAAAAAAATAGTTCTCCTAGCCAGTCACTCAATAACAGAATATCAATATAAAGCTCAATGGCTTTCTTACCTATCTTTAGATTTATATACTTGCTACAATGAGGTACCTGATGTTTCTATCACCACGGTTTAATCAAATTGAAAAATCTTACAAAGAGAAATTTCTCCAAAAGGAGCTAGAACTTTAGAAACTGTAGTTTTTCCTCAAGATTTTACAATAAGAGACCAATGAAGCTTTTACAATAAGAGATCAATGAAGCTTTTACTATAAGAGACCAATGAAGTCTTTATAAGAGACCAAGAATATATACAGATAGCCATCTGACAAATGCTTCTTAATGAAAATTGTGTTAAACTCATACTAACTTTTCTAAAGTAAACTAAAAAAAACAAAGTTAGGAGGAAGAAAAATTTTATACCACCTTCTCTCCTCTATCCAATAATAATCTAAATGTAATAAAGCAATCTTGCAAACTCTCCCCCAAATTATAGGTTGCATGCTTTGAGTTCAGTTATCTTCCCTTAGAAGAAGAGGGAGTCAAATGTCTCAATAATTTTTCTTTGCAACTTGTCATGCCTCATAGCAATTCATTAAGATAAATTCTTAAATCTCTTCAGCATGAAAAAAAGTAAAAGGAGATATATGTAAAATTAGTCTGCTTATAAACAGCTCATCTTCAGAACTTGATAGCAAGTTTTGTTCTTTGGTTCTTTCTGCATGATCGTGCAAGTGCGTGCCACTCCCTCTTCAAAAAAGTCATCTGACTTACATTTGAACACCTATCATATAAAATACGAACGAGTAGTTGAAATAAATGTTATTAAAGGATTCAATTTTTTTAAATTAAACTAAACCTGTACATAAAACAAAACTGAAACTGATAAGGTTCCCTGGGGAGATTTTCCTTGAAATCACTTCTACAAAAGCAGAAAATTCCGCTGCCTGGGCTACTTGAGATAAAAACAGATTCACGCTTAGGCAAAGGGATGATGGAAGTGAACTGACGGGTAAGTGGCATTGCTGTGAAAGGATGATGTTGAACCTCCGTGCTCTGGCAGGACGGCACATAGAATTTCCCCACAAACTGCATTTCGTGAATTGAATTTGAATGTGGAGGCCTATAAAAAGCAAATGGTGTAAGAGCAAGATCTCAATTTTTATCTGTGGTTTCGCTGCTGAACCAGTTAGCCCTCTGGCTAACTTGTGCTCCTCTCATTCCCCTGGGATTTCATGCATCATCCTGAAGGAAGATTTAGAGCATAGAAGCTGTTGACGTCTTGTTAGTTCTGGGGGAATAGACTTCTAAAGAGAAAAGACAAGTCAGGAAGCCCCCCCGGGAATCAGACTGATGGGCCATGGAGCAGTTTTACGTGCATGTGAATCTTTCTGGAAAGGAACCCTCCTCGTGTCCCTGTCCCAGAAAGACTCATTGTCTTTCTCAAAACTGAGAGGGACATTAGAGGTCATTCCAGGCCAGCCCCAAGGCTGAGTTTTCCTTCAAATCCTTAAAACCTGGTATCAAATATTTGAAACTTCTCCTTTCCAGAATAACCAACCCTGGTTATATCAATGAATCCTAATTACTACAGAATTTGAATGCCTTCTTCAGTTCCCAAATCCTTGTCCATGTGGCTAGACTCTAGATACAATCTAGTTCATCTCTTTCTTTCTTGAAGAAGTGCTTCCAGAAAGAGCAGGTTTCTCCAGGGGCAGCTCACTAGTATACAGCTGCACAGGACAGCTATCCTCTCCTTCGAGACCCAATGGGCATACTTAGCTTTGCTAGTACATTAAGACGTGTGCTATGGCTCAGTTACCCTGCTCCTCCTGAAATAATACAAAAAGTATGTTGGACTTAGAGCAAGTATGTAAATGAGAAGGTACAAACTCTAATGAGCTCTGGCAGCCAGGTAAGTAGCAAAAGTATGTGGGCATCCAGTGACTATAAGGAGTGGTGTGGACTGGGGGAACCTGGAGAGCACATACCTTCCTCAAAGCCATGCAGGCCCATTTATGTCTCTAGACTTCATGGTGGATAAAAGAAACATTGACTTCGCCCATGATTTGACCATTTCTTGCCACCATGCCTCAAGCCAGACTCTGATGTTGCATTGCCTCTATATCAAAAGCTGTGTCATCATCTAGTACTCTATAGCACTGGGCAAATATGTGCCATGCTCCAGATAAAGTCTTGAAAAGGAGGCATTTCAGTATAAAATGGCCAATTATTTATTTTCAGTCTTTCAGGAATAGATTTACAAATGACCCTAAGCCTTTCATGACATTTAGATGTTGGTTGAGATTTTTCCCAAAGTTAGAGAGATTGTTTATTCTAGAAATATTTATTTTAAATGATAATGTTAATATGGACCAGGCATGATGCTAAGTATTTTGTGCACATGATCTATTTTTTTCTTTTTCTTTTTCTTTTTTTTTTTTTGAGACAGAGTCTCACTTTGTTACCCTGGGTAGAAAGCCAGGACATCACAGCTCACAGCAACCTCAAACTCTTGGGCTCAAGCAATCCTCTTGCCTCAGCCTCCCAAGTATCTGGGACTACAGATGCCCACCAAAATGCCTTGCTTGTTTTTTTAAGAGATAGGGTCTCACTCTTGTCCAGACTGGTCTCAAACTCATGAGCTCAAGCAGTCAATCCTCTTTGGCCTCCCAAAGCGCTAGGATTCATGTGATTTATTTTAATTCTCACAAAAGAACATGAGGTTGGTACTGCTCTGGGGTAGTACAGTGCAGAACTCTTGCTATCATCCTTTGTCCTCTTTCTCCCTTTCTATTTTGCAGTAATAAAACACAATCTTCTTATCCATAACACTAAGCACCAGGCAACACCATCTTTAGGAAAAAATTCATTAAAACTTTTGTGTTGGTTTATTCTGCAGGGGGTTATAGTCAGATAAGAACAAGAAACTCCAACAGCCTATATTTTTGGAATGTTTTTCCCCTAGTTGTTCAAGTGTGGACTTCACGTTAAACACCTTCCTCTTCTATCCTAGAGTGGGCTCGGATGGAGAGTCTGACTGCCAGGCAAGAAGAACTCATCCTCCTGCAGGAGAAAGTCAAGAATGGGAAAATGTCTATGGACGAAGCCCTGGAGAAATTTAAACACTGGCAGATGGGCAAGAGTGGCCTGGAAGTGATTCAGCAGGTAATGTTGACCCCAATCCCTTCTGGAACATTCCCTCCCTTAATGGAGCTCCTTGACTCTTTGTGTTTTTGTCTTCACTAGAAATGCAGGTAAAAGTTTGTGTGCTTTGAACTAGCTGCTAAAAAGATATTTCAAATAATTAATTAAAAGTTTGGAGAGATATAGATTTCATGTTTGCAGCCATTGGCAAAACACAATCCTGGAATCTGGCACATTAAGCTAGCACCTAACCAGTGTATTATAACTGTCCTTAGTACAATGAATGTGTGTGTGGGTTTTTTTTTAATCTCATTGCTAAAATTAAGATGAAGCATACTTAACACTAACATGGGCTCAACAGTATGAAGTGTGAATTATGTAGACCAGTCTTAAAGAGAACAAAAGAAGGACTGAAATCATATCAAGCAATAGTCATAAAAGAAAACATAGTAAGTTTTATCTTTCTCTCTCCTTAAAAAATAAATATATATGCCCATCAAAGGTTTTTAGAGAAATGCCAAGAATATCAGCTTAAGATAAACTTATCTTCTGTAAATAAAGTTTATATCCTGAGGTGGATTAAAGGAAGTGGTTCTGAGATGGAATAGAAACAAAATATCTCCCGTGGCCCTGGTCACTCCTCACTGAGGGGACTCAGGGCTGTAGTCTGTCCATGTCACATACCTTTCCACTCCCAAAATATTTCAGTTTTTCTCCTCATCACAGAAATCTCTATGCCTCAGAACTCAGTTTTCAGGTAGCTATTTAATTAAGCACATTTAATAAGCTAATTTAGGCCAAAGTATAAATAATAATAGCTTAATATGCTACCTTTCCCAAGAGATAATTTTTATTTTTTAACGGATAGTTAATCCTGAAGAAAACAATTTTAAAGCACAAAAACTAATGAATCACAAAGGAGAATTTTCAAACAATATGGCATATAGGCAAGAGATAGTTTAGGAAAGTGGATCATCTCAGTGCATCTGAGATCATGCCTTGTCAGAAACCATCTCTCTCTGAGGGCAATTCTGGCTATGGGATGGTGGCTAGACATGGTCCATATTTTGCAGCACTAATCAAAGGCAGTCATTTTGCCAAACAAATGCTAAAGAATACAGATTAGAGAGTTCTCCAACTGTTCATTGTTCATGATGAGAATGACAACATTGTTTTTCCCTCCATGCCAGTGTCCTCACCTATACCTACCCCCTCTTCTCCTGAAATGGGGTGAAATGTGCCTACTGCAGAGCTACAAATAATTTGCCCAGCAATGCTAGATTAGATAGATTTTGTTGAAGTAAGTCAATTGTCCTTCATCCTCCTCAGATCCTCAGATAATAAAGTTTTCAATCAAAACCACTTTGAGATACCATCTAACTCCAGTAAGAGTTGCCCACATAACAATAACCCAAAACTGCAGATGTTGGCGTGGATGTGGAGAAAAGGGAACACTTCTACACTGCTGGTGGGAATGCAAGCTAATATGTTCCTTTTGGAAAGAAGTTTGGAAAATACTCAGGGATCTAAAAATTGACCTACCATTGGATCCTGCAATTTCTCTACTAGGAGTTTATCCAAAAGACCAAAAATCACTTTGCAAAAAAGATATTTGCACCAGATTATTCATTGCAGCTCAATTCATAATAGTCAAGTCATGGAAGAAGCGCAAGTGCCCATTGACCCGTGAAAGGATTAAAAATTGTGGTATATGTATACCATGGAATACTATGCAGCATGAAAAAAAGATAGAGACTTTACGTCTTATATGTTTACATTAGTGGAACTGGAACATATTCTCCTGAGTAACATATCTCAAGACTGGAGGAAAAGTATCGAATGTAGTCAGTACTTCTATGAAACCAACTTATATTTACCCACACTTTACCCCCACTCAAAGATAGAACACACCTATAGCCCAGGATGAAGAAGAGAAATGGAGTGGGAAGGGAGGGGAAAGGGGAGGTTTGATAGAGGGAGGGTAAAAGGTGGGACCACACACCTATGGAGCATATTGCAAGGGTTACAAGTCAAATCTGTCAAGTGTAGAACATAAATGTCTTAACACAATAATCAAGTAAATGAGGCAAAAGCTATGTTGATTGGTTTGATGTAAACATGTCAAATTGTATAAAAATATCAACACATTGTACCCCACATATGCATAAATGTATTCATGATCTAGGTGTATATGACTTAATTAAAAATAAATAAATAGTCATCAGCAAATAAAAAAAAAAAAGAATAACCCAGCCTAAATATATTCTTGGAAATGATTTCACTAGTTATTTCCTTAAACTCTTTGGGTGTTTCTGTTTTGTTTGCCTACTTATATTCAATCTTATTTTAGGAAGAATTTAAGGTGCTTCATAGTTATCACTTAGGGATTGATCTGACTCATCGAAGATATAAAGATAATGGGATGATGAATACATTAGTGTTTATAAAAAATTATTTCTCCTTAACCTGCAAATGCAAGCCAACAGACACTAAGACTACCTTTTGTAAGAGCCAAAAATTCACTGACTCTGGCTAAATCCTGTCAGAGGAATTAGGGGTCTGGGCTAAGGTCCAATCAACAAAAAAAAGAGTGATTGTTCTTTCCATTTCCCCATTTCCATTTCCCCAATATAAACATACACACACACTTGCAAACACATACTTACTGCCATATACGTTTCAATATTCCTCTTGCCATTTGTATCCACTAGGATAAAGTATTCACTTGTATCCTAGAAACGAATCTATCAAAGGTAACTGTGAAGTTATGTTATAATATTGATGGAAGAATTATCTTAGGAAACTAAGATTTAAAAAATGGAAAAAACATGAAATTAGAAGCTGGTTTCCAGAATAATGCAAAACCACCTAGAATCTCTGGTGTTGAAGATAAGATGGTGGAGAGAGGGAGAACCTTGCCCTTCTCTCACCTCTTCACCCTACTCACAGTTACAGAGTGCCCTCTCCACAGAGGGGAGGATCAGTAAGGCAATGGAACAAACAGAATGGAAAATGTGGTTTCTGGATTTCTCAGGAAACCCTGAGGAAAAAATACTTCTCCTAGGTTGTCTTCTAAAAGAGATTTATTGAATGTTAGTTTGTATTACTTCTTGCCTTAAAATGTTATATTCAATGTAGAGTATTTGGAAAATAAAGAGAAATTACAGATTTGCTAAGAAGGGGGATCTTGTTACGTATCATCTGCTTCCAAATCTTTAACTTTTGGAATTAGAACACCAGGAAGGAACATGCAGCACAGAAAGGGAAGCAGGCTCCGGCAGCAACAAGGCTTCCCAGTGTAGCTACTCTGCTTTTGGATACTAAACCCCACAGGCATGAGACTGGGAGAAATACCTTCCAAGACATTTGAGATCTGAGATGCAGTATTGACTCTACCACTTACAACTATATGCTATTTGCTCTGGGAAAGTTATGTAACTTTCTTTGTACCTCTGTTTCCATATCTGTAAACTGGGATGATGACATTTTATATCCACTTCATTAAATTCTAAGGATTAAGTAAAATGATACATACAAAGTAACATGAATGACAACTGGGACATCATATGTAGCAAACTAATACTAAGTAGCAGTGCTGGTAATGCTAATAGTAGCCACTTTCATTTTAATCCATAAAACATTTGCAAATCATGACTTGCTTGTCCCCCTTGTATCCTCATTAAGGAAAAACTACGCCAACTACGGGATTGCATTATTGGGAAGAGACCAGAAGAAGAAAATGTCTGCGGTAAGTAAAATTGGCCTGCTATTCAAAAATAATAGAGTGATGAAGTAAAATATTCAGGGATCGTACAGTCAAACAAGCCTAAGTTGAAATCTACACCTCATCACTTTTCAGCTGTCTGAACCAGAGAGACAGCTCAGGTTCCTTGTCTGCAAAACCTAAAATTATACATGCATCTGGGAGCGCTTGTGTGAGTTAACATGTAAAATATTTATTGCATTCTCTGATCCATAATGAACCTTCAATAAGTGTTCATTACTTTCTTTTGATTGCTTACATAAGTTGCAAATAAGATAATTCTGCTCTGCTTTTTAACAACCTATTATATAGGGAATCAAAGAATTAAGGAGTCATGCTTTTTATTAAGCTAAAATAGTCTCCACATAGTCAAATCTTCTAATTTTCCATATGTTTATCATTACTAATAATTAACTGTTGCACTGATGGCAGAAGAATGGGGAGGAATATTTGATATTAATGGAAACTCAACATTGTTAAGATAAGTCTTTTCTAAAAGAAACAACTTATTCCCAAATTGAAAATAAATTCTCTACTCCTGCACAGATAATTAAATATTAACAACCACTAAAAAATTGTAAAAACTTTCATCGCTTCCATTTTCAAAAATATCACATAATTGTTAACTAATCTGTCATAATAAATTCATTTACCTTCATCTTTGGGGGCTGTTATCTCCTTTTCCATAGGAAATTCTTTACTTACCTCAGAAATGTTTTCTAAAACAGAAATATACTTTCTAAAATAATAAAGGCCATAAAGTCAGGGCTAATTTAGAGGTAAAAGAGTTCTATAGACCTCCATTCTTGTGTGGAATTAAGATTAAAATTTTAACAATTTATAAAATTATAAGTTATATAAATAATTTTACTAAGAAAAATTAAGTAGCTAACATTTATTGAGTATCTACTATCCTCTGTGATTTCTTATGATAGCCCTATGAGGCAGGAATTATTCCAAATTTTAAATAAAGAAACTAAGAAACTAAAAAAGCCAATGGGCACACAGATTAGAAACTACAACCCATTTCTGTTTAATTCAAGATTAATGCTCTTTATCATTTATGTCTTAATTAAGAATCAATTAGTTCTTCTATTAGCCACAGGAATAAATAGTTCCACTCAAATCTTCCCATCATACTAATACTAATACTGAATGAAGACACTAAGCAACCAATTTTAGGAGATAGGCAATGGACAGTTGAAGACTATTTAAAAATCCAGAGACAAGCAAAACTCACAAAGTGGTTCTCATAATTGACCAGGTCTCTGCCAGAGGACTGTTTCCTAAATACAGTCTGGGCAAAGCAAGGAAGTCCTGTTGAACTGAAGAGGCAGAGATCCCAGCTCAAGGCAGCTAAAGCTGCTGGAATGTGCTGGTGGGTCATTGAAGAGGAGGTGGCTGTGCACAGAAGCAGCTTCAGAGGTCCAGGTGAGGGTCTCCACCAGACTGCTGCTTAGTGATGAGCTGTAATGTGCAAAGCAAGACCACTCAAGGCATGTGAGATAGCAGCTTTTAGGGCTTCAAAAGCAAAAGAGAGACAGTAGAAGTTGACCAGAGCTGGGGAAAGCCATATAGTTCCTACCCTGCCAAGTGGAGAAAGCTTCTTAACACCTCCATAGAACACCTGACATCTTCTGTGGCACCCAGGAAATGTGAAAAATAAGGACCATAATTTAGAGGAAGAGCTACTCTAGACATGCCCTAACAAAGCCTAAAACTAAACCGCTATGAGATATACATGGGAGACAGTTTATAGGTTGACAGAGTCTCACCAAGGGTCTTTGAAAGAAAATAACTTGGGCTTGCTACTGGTCAACACCAAAAAATGAATAAAACCAAGCCTATACAATGTCATGCCAGCAAGTGAACTGTGTCCTACAACAACCACCAATGCCCATCAGAGGAATACTGCAGAACCCAGAACATACAAGCAGTTATCTATAATATACAATGTTCAATTTATTTTTTAAAAGACATACAAAGGAAACAGGAGTAAGAAATAGGATGTAACTCATAATGAAGAAAAATAAACTAAAGATAAAAACTGTACCTGAGATGCTGTTGATCAAAGACACATCAATAATTAAATTAAAGGCAAATGGATTAAATATATCAAGTAGGGCGCCACCTGTGGCTCAAAGGAGTAGGGCTCTGGCCCCATATGCCAGAAGTGGTGGGTTCAAAATCCAGCCCCGGCCAAAAAAAACTGCACTATATCTCAGAGGCAGACATTTTCAAACTCTAGAAAAATGAAATACCCAACTTTATGCATTTTAAATTAAGACAGATAATTTGAAAGTAAAAGATTCTGAAGGGTCTGCTATGCCAAGAATAAGCATAAACATGAGAAAGCTGACATGGATATGTCAATGTAAGACAAGATAAAAATCAAGACAAAGATTATCACAACAGATAAAAGAAGACATTACACAAAGATAAAATGGCAGTTCACTAGAGAAATATAGCGATTCTAAATATCTATATTTTTTATTATATGTATTTGTGAGTTTTATCAAATATATGAAGCAAAAGCTGACAAACTCAGAGATTTTTTTCACTTCTTTCTTAGTGATCAATAGAACAAATAGATGAAAACCAGCAAAGCCTCAGAAGATTTAAAGAACACAGTCAACTAGCTTTCCCTAATTAACATTTATAAAACCAGACATTGAAAAAAAGCATAGTACATGCTTGTTAAAGGTGCTCATGGAAATTCACCAACACAGAACAAATTCCAGGGAATTGTTTGATACTGGACTATCAAAAAAATTCAGTACATTTCAAGAGATTGAAATCTTCAGAATATGTTCTCTGGAAGATTTTTGTCTTTTGAAATCTTATCTTTTCATAGCATAACAGAAGTAAATTAGAAATTATTTAAGAATTACATATCTAGAAAATCTCCCATAATACTTAGAAATTAAATACAACATTCAAAATAACTCATGGGTTAAATAAGAAATCCTAAGAAGATGTTTCAATGGTAATGATGAATGATAATGAAAAAATATCAAAATTTGTAGAATGCAACTGCTAGAGTTATGTAGTTAATAGTTAAATTAGAAGAAAATATATGATTATAAATGTTGTACTAGAAAAGATAAAAAGCTTAAGATCAATGATTTATGTTTCCACTTTAGGAAATTATAAAGTGAAAAGCAAACTAAATGCAAAAAGAGGTAGGAGGAAAGAAATAAGATAAGATCTGAAGTTAATATTAAAAAAGGAAAGTGTTAATAGAGAAATTTAACAAAACCAAAAATTAGTTACTTGACAATATAAAATTAATAAGCCCATAGAAAGAATGATCAGGAAAAAAAATAAGAATTATCTACATTAGAAATTAAAGTGGCTTGTCACAACAAACATTAAAAAGATGCTAATAAAATGTAATTACTTTTTGCCAATACCTTAAGTGACTTAGACAAAAAACAAAAAATTTAAAAAGAATTTACCAAAACTTACTCAAAAAGAAAAAAATCAACACTGCTCTGAGTATGCCTCAGAGAAGTATACCCCACAGTATACCTGAGTACACTTTTAGAATGTTGTTAATATTTCCCATACTCAGTAAACAAAGACAAGGTGGAGAAAATATGCAAAATAGAATGTAAGCAAAATAAACAAATATGCCGTGGAAAATGAGAGCCAAGTTTCCTATTGCCCGTGAAATGAGTTATCAATAAGGAAAAGGAAGGCCAGAAAGAATGTTGAGGTGTTGCATTGGAATAGGGGTAACAGTATAAACATCGTGGCTATTGACATAAAATTAGAGATAATAAATTCATAATGATATGTATGTGCATAAATATGTGTATTTCTTTGATTCTGTGTACTGAGGGACCCTAGAAGCAATGACATCCTGGCACCAGTGAGCACACCTAGCACCTACATCTTAGTTTATAAAAGCAAATGCCAAATAAGCACATGAAAGGGTGCTTTTTTCATTAGGAAAAAGGCAAATTAAACTAAAATGATATGCCAATACATAATCATTATGATGAATATAATTTAAAACTACTATGAGACCTAAGTGTTAGTTAACATGTGGAACTGGACTACATGGTATGCATTGCTGATGGGGGTATAAAGTGGTGATGACGAGGAAGAAGCCAAATACACACTTACTCTCCGACTTAGTCATTCCACTCCTAGGTATTTTTCCAAGACAAATGAAAGCATATTTTCATCCCACGATTTGTTCACAAACATTCATAGCAGTTTTATTCATAATAGCCAAACTGAAAACAATCCAAATGTCCAATATAAGAGAATAGTTAATTATACTTTGGCATATTTATACTGTGGAATACTACTCAGCAATTTAAAAATACCTATCTTATACAGAATAATATAAATGAATCTCATAAGCATTATACTGAGTGAAGAATACCAGATGCAAAGGAGTACATGCTATAAGATTCCATTTATCTGGAATTCTAGATAAAACTAATCTAGACAAAATAAACCTATAGAGGTAGAGATCAGATAATCAGTTGCCATAGTAATATTTGAGTGAGAATGACATAAGGGATCATGAGGGAATATTCTATGGAGAGAAAATGGTCTGTATCCTGTTGAGTTGTTGAGTACGTGGCTGTATGGATTTGTCAAAAGTCATCAACCTATACACCCAAAAGTGTTTGACTTGTACTATACGTAAGTACTATATTCCTGAATAATGTTGATTTTTAAAAGGAATGGAGGAGCTCAGGCTAATGGAGTATCAAGGCAGAACAGCAAGCATTTACTGTGTCAAATATATCTAAAATCATACTTGTATGCCTTGAGACAAGGGTTGAGAAAGGAAAGGGTGAAAATAATATAAGACATGGTTTCATGCTTAGTGGCCAGAGGTAGATAAATTTAGGGTGAGTAATTTTAGATCATATTTTGAGATTTCATAGTCACCTCAAAGACAAGTAGTCAAACATTAAAAAAAGAGATAGCTTAGATAAATATTGAGCAAAACTTAGTAGAATGTGCTTTTTTTTTCTTCTAGATAAGCTCACCATTGTGCACCATCCAAGTGGTAAGTGCTTGGCTATTTGTGGAAGGACTTAAGACTAAAACAAAGTACATAGTATACCAATTTTAATGTTAATGTAAACCTAATATGATTAGTCAGATCGGTGTAAAAATTTAGATTTTAGATTTATATGCAAAAACCACTTGACAGCCAAAATAAACATGATGTGAGAAGATAGCAATACTAGTGGCATCATAATACAGGAAAAGAACTGTGTGCTTTGAACTTTGATTGACCTGGCTGCACACAACTTACTAGTTGTGACCTTTGGCAAGATATTTAAGCACTGTAGACTTCAGTTTTCTCATATGTAAACTGCAGATAAGAATCATGCCATGGAGAATTGCCATAAACACTGATAAAGAATTTTGTTAATGAGGGCTGATGCATGATTTATCAGAGTTATTGAGGTAGCAAATGAAATTTGAGTGACACTTGAGAGGTCATCATTTCACTGTGATGGAGGAGGAAAGTGTGCTAAATACTAGGAGGGTAAAAAAGAGTTAGATGCCACCTAGGAAGCTATTTAATAATGTAGAGCAATAGTCCACACAGCCTGAACTGAAACACTGACTGTGGGAATAAAGAAGAAATAGAACTTGGCTGGGTGGCTGGGATGGAAAATAGACAGTCATAAAGGCAGGAAGAAGGAGCAGTACTACAGGCCAGTGATGAATAGGAGGAAGAGGAGTTCTCAGAACCCCTAGTTGAGGGCCAATCCTAGTGAATGTGGAAAAAGGAAAGAAGGTATAATCAAATGGAGGCTATTTCTCAGAGGTGTTGGGAAGATTATTTCTGAAGTGACTCCAGTGACTCTTCAATGTTCTTTCCAAGTTAGTCCACACAAGAAGGAGAAAATAGTATACTTGCCAAGGGTGAATTTTTATCAATATGCCCTTTTCATCTCTTTAATAACTGTTCTCTTTATTTATACCCTACTGTTTCTATAAATCATTTTTAAGAAGACCTGAATAAATGAATCATCAAATGAGTGAATGACTGAAAAGATAGTAACAGAGTTTATATTTCTAGGTAAGGAAATTGCTCACAATGAAAATATGTTGGGCAACATACCTGTCAGCAATAAGGTAGGTTGTATTTATTTTCATTTTTGTAAAATGCAAAATAACTTCTTAGTTGACAAAAAGCATAAGAGACTTCTCTACTGTCTGTGCTATGAAATATTCTAGGAAATATAAAGAAAATAGGTTAGGTAAATATTTGTGTGCAAAATCTACAAGCATTAATTTAAGGAAATTAACTACTTCAAAAGAAAACGGGGGGGTGGAGCAAGATGACAGACCAGAAGGACTGTTCAGCTGAGCTCTCCTAGAACAAATGGGGGAAAAGAGAGAACCCAGCCATACCTGACACAGAGAACTTACCTGGAGTTGTAGCTCAGGGAGCACAGTGAGGAAGTAGTGAGCTAGATACAGCATATGATCCAGAGTGGTGGAAATATGATGAATTAGGCAAGTGATTGCAACCAGCTGGGATTGGCTGGCCCCTCATGGAGGTCTGGGATGGAAGGAAGCCTTTTAGGAGTTTTCAGTTGTAGGGGAAGCTGTGCATTGAGTAGAAAACTTGGAACAGTGGGTGGACTCAAATAGTATCCAGAAACCAGATTTGAATGCTGGTTGGAGTTGCCATAGGTTTGGTAGATGGTGAGGCAGCCATACTGAAGTCAGGGGGCTGCCATTGTGGGAAAGCCACCAGATGCTCTTAGCAGAGAGCTTAAAGCACAGCTGTCTTAATTCCACATACCAGGATGAGAACACCACTCTCAGGACAGGCTGAGGGACTCCTGCACACCATGAGAACTGGAGTCAGTGGGCACTGTGAAACCTGCCCATGAAGGACTTTTATGAGTTTTAAGACCCCAACCTGGCAGGATCTGGATGCTGAGGAAACAATCAGTTAATCACTGAAGGCAACTAAATTTGGAATAAGGACCATAGAAGTTGCTGGCTGTGATGTCTCCTAAAAATCCACAGCGCCACCTGGTGTCCCAGAGACATATTGTCATCAAGAGCAAGGACTCTCTTTGAAACAAAGGAGGCAGTGAGAAAGAAAAAGGAGAACAAGGAGATGAATAAGAACAAAGAACACATGAGGCAGAATCAACAGAAAAATTCAGGCAATGTGAAAAACCAAAACAGGAATTCCCCCAAGGGACCAGGAGGCAGCTACTACAGAAGACATTGCCTATAAAGAACTAATGGACTTGACAGAAAGGTAATTTAAAATATGGATTATAAAGACAATAAAAGGAATACATAAGAAGATGGAAAGGCAGAACCAAAAGTCGGACGAGAGAGATGTAGAATATAGAAAGGATATGGCAGAGCTTAAGGGAATGAAGGAGACAAGACAGGGAATGTAAAGATGCAGTAGAAAGTGTCAAAAATATGTTAGACCATGGGGAAGAAAGAAACTCAGGGCTGGAGGATAAAGTTTTCAAGTTAATCCAGGTAGTTAAAGAGGCAGAAAAGAAGAGAGAGAAAGTTAATCCAGGTAGTTAAAGAGGCAGAAAAGAAGAGAGAGAAAGCATAAAGTTTTTAAGTTAATCCAGGTAGTTAAAGGGGCAGAAAAGAAGAGAGAGAAAGAGAGAGAAAAGAAGAAAGAGAAAGCACCTCTAAGAACAGGTGCTTAAAGAACTACAAGACTCCATGAAGCATTCAAATATACAAATAATAGGGATTCCTGAAGGGGAAGAAGATTGTCCCAAAGGAATGGAAGCCCTACTGGAGACTCATAAATGAAAACTTCCCAGGTTTTGCTAAAGACCCCTACAAACTCCTTTCAGATGGATATCGAACCCCAGGTCATCTCAACTCAAACAGAGCCTCTCCAAGATACATTATAATGAATCTGTCCAAAGTCAACATGAAAGAAAAAAATTCTGCAAGCAGCCAGGAGTAAGAACCAATGGACCTACAGAGACAGAGCCATTAGGATAACAATGGACTTCTCAACTGAAATTTTACAAGCCAGAAGAGCATGGTCATCAACCTTCAACATTCTTAAACAAAACAATATTTTGAATTCTGTATCCTGCTAAACTTAGCTTCAAAATTGATGGAGAAATCAAATATTTTGCAGACATACTAGCACTGAAGAAATTTGGCACAACAAGACCAGCTCTACAGGAAATACTTAGACCTCTTCTAAACACTGACCATCACAGTAGACCACCAGCAAAGGAAACACTCAGAAGCTAAAGGTCAAAATGTAGCTTACACAGTGGTGCAAAGGATAAAACTACACAACAGACTTTTACAAAATAAGATGAATAGAACTCCACCACACCTATCCATACTCTCAATAAATGTCAACGGACTGAACTCACCAATGAACAGGCACAGGCTGGCTGATTGGATAATAAAAGCACAAGCCATCCATATGCTGTCTCCAAGAGACACACTTAGCCTTGAAAGACAAATCAAGTCTTAGGATTAAGGGATGGAAAACAGTATCTCAAGCAAAAGGAAATCTGAAGAAAGAAGGGGTTAGAATCTTATTTTCAGATACAAGCATATTTAAAGCAACTAAAGTTAAGAAAGACAAAGATGGACACTTTCTGCTGGTCAAAGGAATAATACAACAAGAAAGAATTTTAAATATTTATGCACCCAATTTAAATGCTCCCATATTTATCAAACAGAACTTAATGGGTCTGAGCAACTTGATATCCCATAACATCATAATAGCTGGGGACTTTAACACCACTCTGACAGAACTAGACAGATCCTCTAAATAGAAACTAAGCAAGGATACAAAGGACTTAAATGTGACCCTAGAACAAATGGGATTAATAGACAAATACAGAACATACCATCCCAAAGATAAAGAATATACATTTTTCTCATCACCCCATGATATGTACTCCAAAATCACCCATATCCTAGGATACAAATCACATCTCAGCAAAATTAAAAGAATAGAAATTATACCTTGTGTTTTCTCAGACCACAAGGCAATAAAGATGGAACTCAACTCAAACAAAAACATTCCTCCCCACACAAAGACTTGGAAATTAAACAACCTGATGCTGAATGATATAGTTGGGTACAGGAATAGATAAAAGAGGAAATAAATAAATTCCTCAAACATAACAACAATGAAGACACAAGTTACCAAAACCACTGGCATACAGCAAAAGTAGTCTTCAGAGGGAAATTTATTACATTAGATGCCTATATTCAAAAACAGAAAGAGGCGTATCAATGAACTCATTAACCATCTTATGGAACTGGAAAAAGAACAATCTAATCCCAAACCCAGCAGAAGAAAAAAATAACCAATATTAAAGCAGAGATTAATGAAACTGAAAACAAAACAATCACTCAGAAAATTAACAAAACAAAAAGTTTATTTTTTAAAAAAATAAAATCAATAAAACATTGGCCAGATTAACTAGAAACCTCCAAATAAGAGTTTATACCCATACTGCAGAAATTATTACAAAAAAAAAAAAAAGAGAGAGAGAGAGAAGGAAGGAATCTTCTCCAAAACATTCTATGAAGCAAACATCACACTAATACCAAAACTAGGAAAATATTCAACTAAAAAGGAGAATTTCAGACCAATTAACTAGAAACTCAATCAGAAATGATAAAGGGTAAATAACAACAGATGCCACAGAGATGAAAGAGATTATCTCTGAGTACTACAAGAAACTTTATACCCAGAAATTTGACAATGTGGAGGAAATGGATCAATACCTGCAATCACACCCTCTCTCTAAACTTAACCAAGAAGAAATAGATCTCTTAAACAAAATGACTTCAAGAACTGAGACTGAAGAAACAATAAAAAATCTCACAACAAAATAATGCTGTGTTCCAGATGGCTTAATACCAGAATTCTACCAAACCTTCAAGAGCTTACACCCATATTGCAAAAACTATTCCAAAAAATTGAGAAAGATGGAATCTTCTCCAACACATTCTACAAAGTAAACATCATCCTGATACCAAAACCAGGAAAAGACTGAACTAAAGAAGAGAATTTCATACCAATTTCACTAATAAATATAGATGCAAAAATTCTCAATAAAATCCTAACCAATAGATTACAGCTACATGTTAAAAAAAAAGTCATTCATCCTGATTAAGTAGGTTTAATCCTAGGGATGAAAGTCTGGTATAACATATGCAAGTCCATAAATATAATTCACCATAACAACAGAAGCAAAAACAAAGACCATATGATCCTCTCAATAGATGCAGAAAAAGCATTCGATAAAATTCACTATCCTTTTCTAATTAGAACATTTAAGAATATGGGCATAGGTGGCACATTTCTTAATCTGATTAAAGCCATCTATGACAGACCCACAGCTAATATTATACTGAATGAAGTAAAACTGAAAGCTTTTCCACTAGTAGAACTGAAACCAGACAAGGTTGTCCTCTATCACCAATAAAATTCAACATAGTGCTGGAAGTTCTAGCCAGTACATCAAGGCAAGAGAAGGAAATAAAAGACATCCAAATGGGGGCAGAGGAGATCAAACTCTCGCTGTTTGCCAATGATATCATCTTATACTTAGAGAACCCCAAAGACTCAACCACAAGACTCCTAGAAGTGATTAAAAAATATAGCAATGTCTCAGGGTATAAAGTTAACGTCCACAAGTCAGTAGCCATTGTATATGCTAATAACAGCCAAGATTAGAAGCTAATGAAGGACACAATTCTCTTCACAGTAGCTTCAGAAAAAATGAAATACCTAGGAATATACATAACAAAAGAGGTGAAGGAACTCTACAAAGAAAATTACAAAATTGTAACAAAAAAAATCAGACAATATTAACAAATGAAAGAATATACTATGCTCATAGCTAGGAAGATACAATATTGTAAAAAATGTCTTTACTACCCAAAAGAATCTAAAAATTAAATGCAATCCCCATTAAAATACCATCATCATACTTTCAAGACTTGGAAAAAATAATTCTAATTTTTGTATAAAACCAGAAGAAACCCTGTATAGCCAAGGCAATAAAAACAAAGGTGGAGTATCATCCACCCAGACTTTCAACTATACTACAAGGCCATAGTGATCAAAATAGCATGGTATTGGCACAAAAATAGACACATTGACATTTGGAACTGAATAGAAAGCCATGAAATGAAACTAACCTCTTACAGCCAACTGATCTTTGATAAACCAAACAAAACATACACTGGGGGAAAGAATCCCTATTCAATAAATGGTGGTAGGAGAACTGGATAACTACACATAAAAGACTGAAACTAGACCCACACCTCTTACAACTTACAAAAATTGATTCAAAGAGGATAAAATATTTAAATCTAAGATACAAAACAATAAAAATCCCCAAAGAAAATGTGTGAAAAACACATGAAGATATCAGTCTGGGGAAAGATTTTATGAAAAAGACTTCCAACAACAAAAATAAACAAATAGGATTTAATTAAACTGAAAATCTTCTGTACAGTTAAGGAAACAACAACCGAAGCACACAGACAACTTTCGAAATGGGAAAAGATATTTGCATATTTGGATCAGACAAAAGCTTGATAATTAGGATCTATAGAGAATTCAAATTAATCAATAAAAAAGAAGACCAAACAATCCTCTATATCACTGGCCAAGAGATATGAGTAGAACCTTCTCTAAAGAAGACAAATAACTGACAAACATGAAAACTACCCTGATGTATCACCTAACCCCAGTGAGAATGGCCCACATCACAGTCTCAAAGCTGCAGATGGTGGCATGGATGTGGAGAAAAGGGAACCCTTTTATACTGCTGGTGCAACTGTAAACTAATATAACCTTTTAGGAAGGAAGTATGGAGAATCCTCAAAAAACTCAAATTAGACCTCCTATTTGATTCTGTAATCCCAATATTGGGCATGTACCCAGAAGAAAAAAAATCCTTTTATCATAAGGACATTTGCACTAGACTATCTATTGCAGCTCTATTTATAATCAGTAAAATGTGGAAACAGCCTAAATGCCCACCAACCCAGGACTGGGTTAACAATTTGTGATATATATATATTATATATATATA